TTATGTAAAGTCAACCTGTTTATTTTATTTTGTATAAAGTTGCCCTGTTTATTTGGTTTTCTGTTCTCTTCTTTGTATTTTTAAAGATGCCTTAATGTTCCACTTTTCTTTATTTCTCCTTTTTTAGTGTCCTATATTATACACCCTCTCGTTGTCTCTCCCTTTGGAAGTTAGTCAATAAGCATATATTAAGCTCTATGTGCCAGGCACTGTACTAAGTTATTAGGATAGAAAAAGAGGCAAAAGACAATCCCTTCCCTCAATAAGCTCATAAGCTGATGGGGGCATATGGTCAACAAGCAAACAAATATGTACAACGTATTCACAAAATAAATAGTAAATAATGAAAAGAGGGAAGGCACTGGAATTAAGGGAAGTTGAGAAAGGCTTCTTGTAAAAGCTGGGGTTTTAGTTGGGACTTAAAGGAAGCCAGTTGATTGAGATGAGGAGTATGAGGACTTCAGGCATGGGGAAAAAATGAGAAAATGCCTGGAGCTAAGAGATGTGGTATCTTGTCCATAGAATAACAAGAATGCTGGGGTCACTGGAACAAAGAGTATGTGTCTGGGGGTAAGGTGTACAAAAGCTGGAAAGGTAGAAGGGGGCTAATTTATGAAAGGTTTTGGGCACCAAACAGAGGATTTTGTATTTGATCTGGAGTTGATAGGGAGCCACTGGAGTTTATTGAGTATTGAGGTGATGTAATTGGACCTGCACTTTAGGAAAATCACTTTGATCATTTTGAATGAAAAATGAATTAGAGTGGGGAGAAACTTGAAGTAGGTAGACCCACCAGAATGAAAGGGAAAAACAAACCCAGTAAGAAACTTAAACAGTCAAGAAAAATAAATTTCCATATTGGTCATGTCCAACAGTATATCTCTTAATCTGGGTCTTGAATCCATTACATTTCTGTTCAGTTGTGTAATATGCTTCATCATCAGTAATCTAGAATGGTGATTGGTCATTATGTTAATCAGAGTTCTCAAGTCTTTAACAACTGTTTCCCTTTGTACATTTCTTGTTATTGTACACATTGTTCTCTGAATTCTATTCCTTCATTCTGTATCAGTTCAAACCATGTCTTCTCAGGTTTCTCTAAAATCATTACTTTCATCATTTCATAATTTAATGACTTTTTGGTCAAAATTTTACATTTCTTTCCAAAATGTTCCAATTTACAACTATACTAATAGTGAATTAATATTCCTGTTTTCTTATAGCTACTCCAATATTTGTCATTTTTCTATTTTGCTATTTGCCACTCTCATGGTATGAGGTGGAAATTCAGAGTTGATTTCATTTGCATCTTTCTAATTTTTAGTGATTTGGAGTACTTTTTCATAAGGTCATTGATAGTTTGGATTTATTCTTTAAAACTTCTTTGGACCATTTGTGTGTTGGGAGTTGTCTCTTGTTCTTTTAAATTTGAATCCATTCTTTATATATATATACACACATATACATATATATGTCTTTGATAAAGGCCTCATATTATTATATTACAATAAATTTTATATATATATGAGACCTCTTTCAAATTAACTTGCTGCAAAGATTTTTTTCCCAATGATTCCCTTATTTTATATACATTGATTTTGTTTGTGCAAAAACTTTTAAATTAAATCATGTAATCAAAATTGTGTGTTTTATCTTCTGTGCTCTTCTATATTCCTTATTTGGATATAACTCCCCCCCCACCATAAATCCAAAAAACCATTGTCCAATTTATTTGTGATGTAACCTTTTATAGCTAAGTCACGTACCCATTTGGAGTTAATCTTGGAATATGGTATGAGATATTGCTCTAACATAATTTCTTCCAGACTACTTTCCAGTTTTCCCAAACTTTTTTGTCTAATAGTGAGTCCTTCTTCCAGTATCAGGGGATTGTGGGTTTTTCAAATACTAGACTACTTGGTTCGTTTGGACCCATATATTATTCCATTGATCAACCTCTCTTTTTCAGCCAGTATCTAATTTTTTTTAAATTACTGTTTTCTTTCATAGTATGAGATCTAGTATTGCTGGGGCCCTATTCCTTTCCTCATTTTTCATTATTTCCCTTCAGTTTCTTGACCTTTTCTAGCTCAATTAAATATAACTTGATAGTTTGATTAGTATGGCACTGAATAAGTAAATGAATGTAAGTAGCATTGTCATTTTTAGTATATTGATAGCCATTAAGAGTTAATATTTTTCCATTTATTTAGGTATGTATTTCCGCAAAGAGATTTTTGTAGTTTTATTCTTATAACTTCTACAAACATTTCTTAAGAGTTTTCATGTGCCAGGGTTAATAAATATCTATCACAATGAATTATATAGTCCATATTTCTATTTATATAGTCCATATATGCCTTCATACAGAGGTATAGATAATCCTTATTTTATAAAGACATGAGAAGTATCTTGAATGATTTATCTACTTTTATATTCTTTAGAATTCATTAGACTGTGGGTACTTATCTTTTTGGCAATTTTATAATTTACTGAATACTAATTAATGGACAAAAGAATTATTACTGTTGACATAGTAACCACTAGTTTCTTAAGTTAATTTTTAATCTACATTTTTCCTCCCAAAACAAAACATCCCTAGGGGTTAATGGTGTGAATTCTTTTCTGTAGGATCTGAAGTCTTTACTTTTGCTTCAGTACCCTAAATCTATATATAATCTTTGGTTCTGCTTCTAAAAAAAGAATTTTTCTCCGTCAGTTACTCTTGATTTTTTTCTTACCTATGAATTATAAAAAATCTGAACTATAGCATTTCCCTTGATTGGTTAAATAGTGGCACTGATAGTTCCCAATTTGCAGTCATGCCTGTATTCTGTTCATGGAATTTCACATGGAGGGCTCTTTAGATTGATGTTCTTTCTTTATGACATTTACTAAAGAAAAATGGGGATAGCAAAACCTGAAAAATAGTATGTTTTTGCCTTGAAGTCTATTCTATAAAGTATAAACTTTACTTCTTGTAGGTACTTCTGACATTGTACAGAATCATTCTATCATGGAATTTTCAGACTGCAATTTTTTTGAGATAATCACGTCCCATCCCCTCATTTTAGAGGTGGGAAAATTGAGGCCGAAAGAGGTATAAAGACTTGGTTGAGTTCACAAACTTTTGATCCTCCAACTTATAATGGAACTCAGCTACCTAACTAGGCATTGTTTCATTTCCAAGAAACGAATTAAAATTCTGAACTTCTGATGAAAGCCACACCTTAGTCTACTCTGGCCAACTGTGATGACTATACTGCCCTGGATGGTGAACAAATCTGTTGTAAAAAAAATTTTAATAGTTCTTTTCCATCTTTTATCTGTTCATTGTGTTACTTTCAATTTCAGAATGACTTGGCTTCACTGGTTTCTTGCAAGATTTTCTGCAGGCTAGTTTTTCCTTTTATTGCTTCTTTTCAGTTTATAGGGTGACATTACTCATATCTTCATCATCCTTCTCACTAACGTTTTATAAATGAGCTAATATTTTAAATTCTTAACTGACACATATCTGCACTTGGCCAGTAAGTCAAGTGTTTGCTAAGCCTTCTTTAGTTTCCTTGTCACAGTTGATTTACATTAGTTAAATTTATCTATGAAATCATTGTAATCAATATTGATTGATGTTCTGTTCATAACCCTTTTATATCAATAACTTGTTTATATAGTTCATAGTGGAATTTTTAAATTCCATGCTTTATCTTCTCATTTTCATTTGTCATTCTAGTTTTTAATTAATTTTGATCCTTAGCTTTAACTTATCAATGGCCTGATTAGACAAGTATGGTATATCACATTCAGGAATAAATCCCATATTAATGAGTCATTTCCTGTTTGTTAAAATATAACCAATTTAAGTTTTTTTACAATGCTATTTAGTGTGCAACATGCCTAGTATCTTCTAATTCTCTGTTTCAAGGAAGGATTCATCATGTCTAGGCATAAGGCTGCAGGGCAAAAGTACCATAGGTTTTCAGACTCTTACTTGCTCTTTAGGAGTATTTCCCAACCACCCTTTCACCATCCATGCCTATTTCCATCTTCGCATTAAAATCACTATGAAAATATATGATGAATTGATTGGGAAGGTCTTATTGAGTTCTTTCTAGAAATTCTCTGTCTCTTCAACTTTTCCAACAGATGTTGGTCCCATATGCTGCATTATTTTCAGGGTTTGTTTTTTTTTTCAAATTTTTTCAAAATTTTTTTTTCACATTTCAAGTTTTTTCCAAAGTATTTCCTAAGCACTGCAATAAGAAATAAACAAATAGCTCAGGAAATGGTATGTCTTGTTGCCTTGGACACAAGTTAAAAACAACTCTTTATTTGTCTCTCCAAGGAGAACCTGTAGACCATCCTGTCATTTAGCTGCAATTTCCTTCTGGTACAGATCTGTTTATAGCAAGAGTGGCAAGAGTGCTCCAATTTTGATACTCCAGTAGTATGTCTCCTAATCCATAGGACAAGATTATCATATTTAAAGTACCAGCAACTAAGTTAGCATTTCCTGAGGCTCTAAAGCTGTTTCTTAGTGCCCTCTGCTTCCTTTACTTCCACTATGACTGAAGCTGCAGAAGGGGAATGGGGCTAAAACAGACTGAAGGTTTTTCTTTTTTCATGGTTTGTGTGCCCAAACTTACTGATGATGAGTCTCTCTTTGACTAGCTAGACTGGTCCTTGGAAAGAAGACACAGTCTTTCTAGCTTTTCCAGCATGGTAGAGCAAGCCAGAGATTTCATTTCACTAGCATAGATTTCCAGAACCCAGAATCACCACCATGGCCACAACAAAGCCATTGGAGTAAGACTTTATGAAACTTGTTTGGGGGGAGTGGGGGTAGGGCATCATTTGGGAGATCAGCCTTACAAAGGCTGGAAAGTCTTACAACCTGAAAAGACAGATTTGACTGAGATTGTGGGCAAACACACGCATAAATTATATCTATATGTGCATGTAGATCTATAATCTGTATACTTTAATTCTTTCTTTTCCAGAACCTACTGGCAAAGATTTTGGCCCTACTCTGGGTTTGAAAAAGTCCAGTTCCCTGGAGAGTTTGCAAACAGCAGTAGCTGAAGTCAGGAAAAATGACCTTCCTTTCCATAGACCTCGTCCTCATATGGTGCGTGGGAGAGGGTGTAATGAAAGCTTTAGAGCAGCTATTGACAAATCTTATGATGGACCTGAAGACTTAGAGGAGGGTGAGTCGCTGTACTTTCTTAAACCATTTCTTTATTGCATGACAGTCTAGGAATTGTGGAGAAGGATGAGCTCAGAACTGCCGAGAAAAATGTTTCAAACCTTGTAATTATAATTCTAATATTAAAAGTAATTAATTTTCCTGATCTTTTTGCCCTTTGGCTCAGAGAATATTGGATTGGATAACCAAAATTGCAATTTATTTTTCAGTGCAAACCATAAAGGGGAAAATGTTCTCCCTCACTTTCCCACAAGGAATCCCTGTCATTTATCCTTAGGGTAGGAACACTAAGAATGCTTTGCCTGACGTTCTGTTTTCAAGTCATTAGGAACAGCATCATCCCAAGGACTGACTGCATTAATTGGGTAGAGACAGTTAGGTTATATTAGTACTCAAAACCTCTTCTCGAAATAAACTCGCACTGTTTGCTTCCCAGCATGTGGGCTTTCTGAACTTTTCTGATCAAGGTTAACAAGCCAGCTTTCAGAGAGGTTAGTGTTTTATCACGTCAGGCCTTTCATACTAGCAAATAAGCCACTCTCATAGTGCTCTCTCTACCTCACAACAAACCTTGCTTGAAGTAACCATATTTGAGTCAATCTCTCTTAAAAGTATACAGGTAGCCCCATGAAATGGTAGAATTCTGTAATGCTTCTCTTTCAATTGTTCTGTATTTTACATTTTTACTTTTTTACTAACCATAAATGGTCCCTAACCATTTCTATTAATTTTTCTTCTTTCTTCTTTTTTTTTTTTGGTTTTGTTTTGTTTTGTTGTGTTTTTCCTGTGCAGACGGCCTGTCTGATAAGAGCTCTTTCTCTGGTCAAGGAGCTCTGAATTGTGAATCTAACCCTCAGGGGAACGCTGCAGCAGAGGATATAGAAAATAAGGCCAAGAAGAATAAAAAAAATAAAGACAAGGAAAAAAAAAAGGAAAAGGGCAAACTGAAAGTCAAGGAGAAAAAACGAAAAGAAGAGAATGAAGATCCTGAGAAAAAAGTTAAGAAGAAAGGGTTTGGTGCCATGTTGAGGTACAGTCTTTCTTGGCAAAGGAAATTAATGTCACTTCATTTCTTTGCTAGTGGAATGTGCTCATTTCATCTGCATTGGAAAACCTGCATTTCTAGTTAAATGTGTCTGTATTCTGACTTCGGTCTTGCCTTTTGGTAATGGCAAATACTAGCAAAATGTTTGAGTTGTGGCATGGAAGCTCCTTTCTCAGTTGACAGGAGACCTTAACAGTACCCCTGTCAGAGGAAGAGCATTGGCAAACATCCTGTTTATGGAGCCATTAGAAAGGACTTCAATTCTGTATAACAAGGTCTGCTTTATTCAAGAAACCTCAAGTTTAATGATATGCTTTCTGTGCTGTAAACCTTAAAGATAAAAATTAAATAGCCCAAGGAGCTTAAATCCCAATTTCTCATCCTCCCAGATTTAGCTTGGGGGCCATTTCTTTGAAAAGACCTTTGCTGATTCCCCTGAACTGAAATTTTTCTCTCACTCCTCATATTTTCCAAGACCACTTTGGCCCTATACTGCTACCAGACCCTACCTTCTCAATGCTCATATTCCACCCTCAATTCTATTTATTTATGTCATGATGTATGCTTTCTAAGTGAACTACAAAATCCTTGGGGATGACTACTTTGTCATTTTTTGACTTGGTATCTCCAGAGCCTTACCTATAATAGACAATTATTAAATGTTTGTTGAATAAAAACAATCTGAAAATACATGTGAAACTAGATAATTGTATAAGCTCATGTTGGACCAACCATGTTAGCCATAGGTCTCTTCTTGTGGGAATTGGGGGAGGGACAGTGATGTCCATCCTCTTTTGGCTGCCTTATCCCTCTATATATCTCTACTGCAGGATTCTCTGAACCATTTCTGTCAGAGATTCACTAACTCCTGGTTTCTCTTTTCTCTATAATTTTAGTAAACTTAAAATTTCCAAGGAAGTGTTTGATTTTATCTTCAGTGCAAAATAGCAACTTGTTTTGTATAGCCTTTTACATCTGAATCTTTTTGAGCATATTGGAGTTACTGCTACAGGCACATTTTCAACAACAAAGGACACAAAAGCTGTTGCCATTAGCCAACAGATTTTGCTTCCTTTCTCATCTGTTGTTCAGATATTTACTTGTTTTCCCTTGTTTTGTTTTGTTTTTTTTCTTAAAAGATCAATTGGATTTTTGGTTTGGTTTTGGGCTTGGTTTGTGTGTGTGTGTGTGTGTGTATAGCTTCTCTTAGACTTAGGCACATGATTCCAAGGTTAACATTTCACGGTTGGATTTTTTATATTCTTATTTTCAAATTCGGGAATACTAAGACAATGCCATCAAAGAACTTACAGTCCATCAGGAGGAAACAACGTGTACATATATAAGCATATACAAAATATAAATATATATAAAGAGGGAATTCTAATGTCTATTGGGGACGAGGAAGGGCCTCATTCTGGAGATGTTATTTGAAATGAATTTTGAAGGGAACCAAAAATTCTAGGAGACAGAAAGAAGTACATTCCAAAGATGGCAGACAGTTTGGTCAAAGGCATGAAAATGTGAGATCAAGTGTCATGGATAAGAGACAGCATGGAAGCCAGATTGGTCTGAGTTATAGAAAGTATAAAGAAGGGAGCTAATATAAAATAAGATTGGGAGGGGCAGGGAGGGAGTTGTGCCCAGATTGTGAAAAGTTTTAAATGAAAACAAAGGGGTTTATTTTTGATCCTGAGAGTGGAAGGAAGGAAGGAAGGAAACAAAGGAGGGAGAAAGGGAGGGAAGAAGGAATGAAGGAAAGAAAGGAACAAGCTTCTATTAAGCAGTGATTATGTGCCAGACACTGAGCTGAGCACTTTACAAATATTATCTTACTTGATCTTCACAATAACCCTGAGAGGTAGGTGCTATTATTATTCTCATCTTACAGTTGAGGAAACTGGGGTAGTCAGAGGTTAAGTATCTTGTCCAGAGTCACACAGCTAGCAAGTATCTGAAGCTGGATTTGAACTCAAGTCTTCCTGACTCCAGGCCACTGGTTGACTCTATCCACTGTACCATGCCACAAATTGGATAAGATCTTGAGGTGAGGGAAGGGAAAGGGAAAAGAAAGAAGCATTTATATAGTGCTTATTACCTTCCAGGCACTTTGCTAAATGCTTTGATAATAATGGTCTCTCCTTTTTTAAGGAGAGCCTTTGCTTTAGATTATAACCTTCTTTTGGGTTAAGAAAAAAAGATTAACTCATTCTTAACATAGTTGAAAAACTAGGAGAAATCCCCTTAATTTATATCTTCTACAGTCATAAGAATCATATAGCATGGTACAATGGTGTACAATTGTATAATGGACTTTAAAGTCAGACAACCTGAGTTCAAATCCTGCCTCCGATATTTACTGCCTATGTGACATTGGACAAATCACTAATGTTCTCCTGATCTTAATTTCCTATAAAATGGCCTTTACCTATAAAATGAAGACATTGTACTGGATAGCCACTGAAGAGCTTGTACTCTATAAATCTATAATTCCAAATATGTTCCAAATTCTATTGGTCTAGTATGTTTCCACTTTCCTGGTTTCCGTATGAACCCCTTTAGACAGGTCACATGTAGTCCTTTGGAAGTTCTCATAAAATTCTGCCGGTCAATGCAGACAAAAGAAGCAGGGCAAATAGCAGACTGATGATGATTAGGTTCTTTGCAGGCTCCCTCTTAGTGAGACATGAACTTTAGGAGATAAGGTCAACTTTTCTGTCAGGACTGACCATTGGTATTGAGTCAAATGACTCTGGGTTCCATGAGCTGACAACAGGTTAACTGGAAATGCTACCAGCCAAATGTATCAAGATAAAATCTACTATTTCTAAAAGGTTTCCTGTTGTGACTTATGCACATGAAAATACCTATAAGATGGGTCCATTTAGCAGCTGTGTACCTGCTTCTGAAATGCAAGTAATTGGCAAATCACTTATGGCCTCCACAAATTATGGCTTAAAAAGCACATTCTTTTTAACCTGAGAGGATTGAGAAAATTAATTTATTAATGCTGGTGAAGCACTTTGAAAATGAAATGGCTGTACTAAGTTAGAGAGTTTCAATATTATTTATCTGATATGTATCTTGAAAATGTTTTTTTTTTTCCTTACTGGGTATTATTTTTCTAAAGATGATTGAGATGGCTCTGTCTGTTGTTACATTAAGTGATTTAACACCCAAACTACTCAGAGCCTAATATTCTATACTTACCTTTAAAACTGAATTCAGTAAAAGGAAATACTAGATATAATCTTCGGGAATAAGTTTCTTGAATTGGCAGTAGTAAGACAGAAATTGGGTTGAAAGTCCCTTCCCAGGGCTAGATTCTTCACACTGATTTAAAGGTATCACTTCTGTTAAAGGGTGAGGTTCTTCTTGTCCATTCAATTGTTAGCTGGTCTTGGGATATTGCCTGGAAAGATAAGCCATGTGATCGTGATGCAGGAACGTACTTATGTGGGTAAAACAGAAGCTAAATTTTAACCGCCACTGAACAGGACTCTCCTTTGGTTATAGTTCCCTAGTGTGGGGTTGATCTTTGGTTTGCAAACCACTTGTACCTTTAACCTTCAATCTAGTGCTGATTGCATAAGGGTTACTCTTATCTTCTGCTGTCACCAGGATAGGTCACTTACCTCAAAAACATTGGAGCTATAAATGTAATTGAGATACAAGTAGACTGGGATTCAGCATTCGACAGACATTTTTTAATCCCCTACTGTGGACGTATGATTACACCAGATTCTGGGAAGATACCAAGTTCCCATAGTAGCACTTGTCATACAGCTTATAATCTCGCTATTATTGTTGAGGGCCCCTTATCCTCCTAGTCACCCACATTTGCGATCTAGGCGTCATCCTCAACTCCTCACTCTTGCTCACCCATTATACCTAATCTATTGCCAAGGCTCATCTGTTTGACCTTTATAACATCTCTCACATAGACCCTCTTCTTTCCTCAGACACTGCCACCATCCTGGTGCAGACCCTCATCACGTTGCAGCTGGACTGTTGCAATAGCCCCCTTCTTAGTGTCCCACCTACAAGTTTCTCCAATTCTTCCACTTAGCTGTCAAAATAATCTTCCCCAATTGCAGGTCTAACCATGTCACCCACTCTCCCACTCAATGAACTCTGGCATTCCCTGTCATCTCCAGAATCCTCTAGCATTCAAAACCCTTCATAACATACCCCATTACCTCTCTAGTCTTCTTATACCCTACACCCCTCCTTGCACTTACTTTGCAATCAAAGAACATGATCTTTCTCATTGCTCCTTATCCAAGACACTCCATCTTAAGACTCTGAACATTGCCACTTATTGTTTCTCTGCCTGGAATGCTTTACCTCCTCTTCTTTCCCTACTGGCTTCTCTGCCTTCCTTCAATCGCAGCTAAAATCCCACCTTCTACAGGAAGTTTTTCCCAATCCTCCATAATTCTAGCATCTTCCCTTGAAACTATCCTGTATATAGCTTATTTGTGCATGGTTATTTGCATTTGTCTCCCCCATTGGGTTGTGACCTCCTTGAGAGCAGGAGCTGTTTTTTATCTTTCTTTGTATCCCAGCACATAGCATGATGTTCAGCACATGGTAGGTGCTTAATCACTGCCTATGGACTGACCAACAGAAACACAGACATCCATAATAGAAAGTACTCATGATAAGTCCATGTCCATAGTACAAAATGTTATATGAGGGGGGCAGCTAGGTGGTGCAATAGATACAGCACTGACCTGAGAGTCAGGAGGGACCTGAGTTCAAATCCAAGCTCAAATCCATAACACTTAATAGCTGTGTGACTCAGGGTAAGTCACTTAACACCAATTGCCTCACACACACACACACACAAATTAAAATGTTGTATGAGATTAAAGGAGAAAGATTATTTGAAAATCAAGGTAGACATTTCATTTATGTTCAAGGATGAGCCCTTGTACAAAGGAGTTTAACTGCTAAAGTTGAATTTGTCATTTCCTTGGATG